CGGACATGTTGACCGGCGGAAAAAAATCTAACTGAAACTCTGCCGCACGATCCCTTGGAAGAGGCGGAGAGGTGGGTGTTTTTCATCTGCTGGTGACAAACCGGAGAGATCTACTGCAGCAGGAGCAAACGCTTGCCTCGGGGAGGGAGAAAAAGAGCCAGAGCGTCCACGGCGGACAATAAACAGAAGGGCAACCATGGCAACCATGCGCGGGAAGTCTTCTTCGCTGCTTTTATGCAGGACTACAGCGCCACTTACAGTTCTGGCATATGTACTACAGCGTCTCCAGCAATTTCGAGCGGTCTCGTGTGAACGGACACGTTTCTGGTGCCTGTTGGAAGACCTTTTTGATAACGATTGTGGCCCGTTATCGTCCTCGTGTGGCAAGGGCTTTAGAAAAAACCCAGATTAATAATATAACCCCATGGTGACATCTGCTGGGCAGTTATTGGTAATACATGTATTACACAAATAATAATAATATATAGATATATATCTGTAAAAATGCTATTACAATATCATTTATTTCATTATACTTATCAAGTGATGATATTATCTGAATTGTATTACATTTTTGAACAGATTCAGAGCAGATTTGATTAAAATGTTTACATTATTTGTTGCTGCAAGGATTATTATAAAAAAGCATGGAGTTGTAGCGATGAAGATAAATCATTATCAATTAAAAAAATACATTTTAAATATAAAAACTCTTTTTTGTTGTTCTTCTTCTTCTTCTTCTTCTTCTTCTTCTTCTTCTTCTTCTTCTTCTTCTATATTGCTCTCTTTTAAGCATTAGCTCGAGCTGCAGGTAAAACCAGACGAAAGAATAGGTTGAATTAAATAATCCGAATTAAATAATTACTAATTTTATTATATATTTTCTGAGTTGTTCTTACCTCTTGCCCACCTTTGGTAGATGTAAATACACACTATGAATATTACGGTGAAGGTATGGAATATCAGGATGGAGCACAGCAGCCTGGACAGAGACATGAGAGGAGGAGGAGGCGTACAGACAACTCTAGGCTGATCTGTGAGGGAGAACATTATTATTATTTAAAATTCAAACATTTGCGTCTGCTGGCGAAGCAATTTCCACTTTCCTGATGTTTAATATACTCTTTATCGTCTATTTTCAGTCTAAATTGGACCATAATTCACAGAATGAGCCTCATACTGTGTTGAAGATTACTTTAAAGTAGAGATCGACACTTTAAACTCCTCTGGAAATGTTTTACTGACGTATTAAATCAAGTGAGAAGTAGGGTCATTTCTCATAGACTTCTATACAATGTGACTCTTCCCTGCCCCCTTCTGGATATAAGAGAGAATGCAGGATTAAGGTTTAAGGCACACAATGGCTTTGAAAGTCTTTTAACATTAATATTAAAGATCTGCAGGCTATATACCACAAATATAAGATAGAAGTAAGGTCATTTTTATCATAGACTTCTATACAATCCATCTTTCTTTTTGCCCCCTGCTGGATTTGATAGAGAATGCAGCTTCGAGCCACTTCTTACATTGGCTTTGTTCGATTTCTACCTGTAAAAAAATCAACCAATTAGCACACGTTTCCAGAGAAAATGTGTCATCACCTGTCACTGCGAGCCAGCTCTGCTGGGATTTTGCATTCTTGGGATGTCCACACCCGTAGAAACCTTCATCGGATTTGGACACTGCTTGAAAGATCAGCTTCCCTGCAGGATGGTCGCCGATAAACACAGTGTTTTTGTAGAACGCCGCCGAGAAATTAGATGTGGGTTTAACGCCTTTTTCCTTGAAGATACAACGAAGCGCCACTTCATCTCCCGTCGTCACAGGAAGCGTCGGAATCTCCAAGATCACACCGACAGCTGGAATATAAAACATACATCTCTATGCTTTTGTATTCAGTATTGAAAAATAAATACATGAACTCAAGTACGCTTCTTAAGTACAACTGTGAAGAATCTTTATTTCCTGCTTATTGAAAAAGTACAGTTTGTTTCTGAATTGTAGTTCAAGTACTCTTTACTCAGTTAAAATTATTTTAGAGCTTTATCAATACTTATTTGAACATTTTGCATTAAACTATATGTGATAAACTTCTAACATAATGCATTTCCAAAGATTAAACCATGGGAATAACTGTTTGAGGTACAGAAAGGTACAATTATTGAATATAATACAATTCAAAAATCTGAATTTCAACAATATGCATAAAACAATATTAACAATTTAATAATGTCATATATATATAAAATAATATATAATATATGGACGCCATGTTACAAAGTAACGCGTTATTGTAATAATATTACTTTTGTCGGTAGCGGAGTAGTGTAACGCGCTACTTTTATAATTCAGTAATCACACTACAGTTACTAACATCGCCCCGACACGCGTTACTTCGTTACTTACTAAAATCAGTCATAATCACACTGACAGAGAAGAGGGGTTTCCGCCGTAGGTTTATATCATAGGTTTATACGTAATCTGCGCGACTTGCGCGTCCACATCTCCACCTGCAGTGCTGCATAAACATGGCAGAGTCAGCGATAACTTTCGAGGAACCCTTTGAAGGGTTCACGAACGGGATCGAAAGATAATCTTTCTCTCTCCATTGACTTCAATACATATTTCTTCCGAAATAAGGTCCCATGGAGCTCCCCCGGAAGGGGAGGGACTTTGCCACTATTGCATAAATGTACTTTTTTTTTGGTATTACTATTCACTGAGATGTTGACGGAGTTGCTGCATCTGCCCTCCGGAGACTCGCACCAGTACACCCCAGCGTCCGTGGGGTAGGCGGCCTCGATCAGGCACGAGGAATTACCCGGTTCGCCCCAGCCATGCGTGCAAACCTCAGAAATCTTCCGGGAAGTGTTTCTCTTGACGCTCCAGCCAGTGGAGTTTGCTTCGCAATTCAGATTGATGGATTCATACTGGAAGAACTGGGATCGGTCGGGCGTGACGACCAGCGTCGCAGCTGTGGAGGTCAGAGAGATTAGCAAAAACATCCATGAGAAATGCTGTGGAAATGATGTTAGTGTCTTCAATGGTAGAAAGAACCCTGGATTGGCTTTTTTTAAGTAATCAATTGTGATGTTTTTAGCTTGAATTGCTGCCAGCATTTGATTTAGCCGTCTTCCTATGAGTTTAACTTGGATGGACGTTGCCCTTATTGTCAATTTCACTTTTAATTGGACCATAGTTTACAAAATCAACATCATCCTGTAACGTAAAAGACTTAAAACTAGGGTTTGAGACCAAAAACTCATAAGGAAAACCTTTACTGATGTAATAAGCTAAGTGGTGGAAGGCTATTTCCCTCATAGACTTCTATACAATGTGACTTCTCTTTGCCCCCTGCTGGATACTAGAGAGACTGCAGATTTAGGACCCTTTTGCAATAGCTTTGAAAGTCTTTTTTTTGTAAAATACACCACAGATTTTACAGTGAGAAGTAAGGTAATCTTCTTATAGACTTCCATAGAACCTGCCTTATCTTTGCCCCCTGCTGGATACTAGAGAGAATGCAGGTTTAAAGAGCTATTGCATTGAATTTGTTAGTTTGTTAACTGTAAAATTTAAATTAAAAAACATTAACCACTAATATCCAGGTCAGAAGTCAGGTCCTTTTTTCATAGACTTCTATACAATCTGACTTCTTCTTGCAACATTGTGTCCAAGTAGTTTCTTTGATTTTTTCGGGATCTGAAAAGAGTGAAACTTCTCCTTTTTCTGCATAAACCTTCTCTAAATGACACTATTTAAATCTTTGGGAGGGAGGCATGTTGTCAGTAGTTCAGAGAATACAACTCAAATGTGTATTTTACCCAAAAACATACATATAAAATCTGAAACCAGAGAAAATGTACAGTTGTCTTTTATTTTGTGTATCCCAAGAGCTGTGTTTTATATGGAGGCAATGCTGTGGTTAAATTACATTTTATTGCAGTATTAATACTTTTACTTTTAGTGCATTAAGCAGTGGTTCTTCCTGGTATTACTCTCAACATCTACTGATACGTACCTTGTTTTTTTTACTAATTTTGAGATTGAAGTCACACTATTAACAAATTGAGATTACATTTTTTGGAGTGGAAATGTTGACAATAAATCAAAAGTGTTAGCATATTAAAGATTGGACTTTATTCTCAAAATGCAAATGAAAAAATTCCTTCTATAATTGCTTTATTTGCTGTATGCCTGTCTCTAAAACTCTTATTTACAAACCAGGGTTTTAAAGAGAGGAAAATCCAGACTTTTTAACAAAATTCACAATCACTGAAATGAGAAACCAGGAAGCGCACATTCGACAAACCATGAATTTCTCTCGGTTAACTTTCTATATTTAGTTTTTAAAGAGGATAAGTCAATGAAGTTTGGTTGGCACATGAGCCTGGTTACATAAACACTATTTAAATAATCGTTATAAAATATAAATGTACTTACACAGCATTAGGCAGAGTGAGGAGACTTCCATCTCAGTAATGTTGTCTCTCTTCTTTGAGTTTGACGCGGTCGGCGACCACATCCTCACCTAAAACAGGAAACATTGACAGTTAACGCTGAACGTACCAAGCTCAACTTTTAAAAACATGCATACTGAAACTGAAATATAGAAGTGAAAAGATGTGGCTAAGGTGGATATTTTACTGTCAGCAAAATGTAATTATGCCACGCTGTGAAATTACTAGACGTACTATTAGTACTTCTAATCAAGTGAAAGTCCAAGTGGTACTCAGACTTGCTTAAAGAGGCCCTATTAAGCCAGCTAGTCGAGTGTAGAACATGTGTGCATTTGATCATAAAGTTTGTATATTTACAGGGGCTGTGGCCACATCTAAGCAGCTCATAAACTTCAGATTTTAAAAACAAAAACAAGTTTACAAAAAAAGGAAACACCATTAAAGATTTTTGGAGTTTTATTTTAGTTCAATCAGACAACTCATGTGTTTCTGTGACATCAGAATCAGGTAGGTTGACACGTACGAGGAATTTGACTTGATGTCGTGGTGCATACATTAAAGTGAAACAAAAATAAATAAAAACAGATAGAGAACTATTTTAAGAACGCTATGGTAACATTAAAACATTTAAAAAATAAGATATGTGCAGTAAACAAAACAAATATATGTTTGTTAGAAGCAGCATATTGGCGTCTTGGCTCGGGCCTCATCACTCAACAGATTTACAAAGAACCAAGAACATTGAGTGATGATCAACTTTCCCCCGAGCCTCCAGGTGGAAGCAGCGTTGGCGAGGAAGAGGCAGATCTGGCAGCTTAAGTAGAGCGGCAGGTTTAGAAGAATGTGTTTAGTTGGCTGTAAGAGGTACGAGGCGCCCCACGGGGCAAAGTATCACTGGTGCTCGAGTGACTGCCTGAACTCGCAGGCTTTGCCACATTTATTATTTCTAATAACCTGACAGACGGGAGCCTTCAGCTGTAAGTGGGAAAACAGGAAGTTCACTTTGCATGTAGTGACAGTGGATAGGGAGAGGTTTGTACTTTTCAAACGAGAACAAAAGATCATACCAATCCTGTTTTTACGTGCTGCGCGCCGCACCTGTATTCCCTGCCTGTTTTTACCTTTTTCTTTTGAGGAAAAAACAACTTTTGGACTAAATGTAACCCCACTGGCCTCGGGGTAATCCATCATTTTGGGTCTAAACTGACTGGCAAGAGGTAACGCTAAATAAAGTTGATGAGTTAAAAGTGAAAGTAAAAAATATTCACAATGACGCAGTTCTTGTTCAAACAGCGATGAGGTGGAAAACTGGACTGTTTGGATTTATTGGACTGATTTTATTGTTTTTGATGACAAGCAAAGGTAGGATTACTTCCTTAAATAAGCATTAACATAACATGTATTTAAAATGAGGATCAAAGACATAGTGCATCAGTTAAAATATAGCAATACATCAACAAACCATCCACCATTTCTTGCTCTTTCAAACATTTCCTCATTACCATCCATTCTGAAATGTGGCAAAAATATATAAATAAAATGTTTTTTTTATCTCATATTTGTGCCACTTTTTTCTAGCAGGAATAGAGCCAGGGGTGTCGAGTAAGTACAAAAATAAAATTAAAATAACTCTAAAACATTAAAAAAATAAACCACTTTTTAGATTTTTCAAACGTTTTCGCAAAGTGTTAACTTAAAAACAGTTGAGTGTCTTTGTATCACTTTGTCATCTTTTGGCAGCTCTTTCATTCTCTTCGTGCCTGTCTCCTAGTTTTTATGTCTCTTCGTAGTTTTACTCTGTCTCCTTGTAGTTTACTCTGTCTCCTTGTAGTTTTCCTCTGTCTCCTTGTAGTTTACTGTGTCATATAGTTTTTATTTTGTCTCCTTGTAGTTTTTATTTTGTCTCCTTGTAGTTCTTATTTTGTCTCCTTGTAGTTTACTCTGTCTCCTTGTAGTTTACTTTGTCTCCTTGTAGTTTACTCTGTCTCCTTGTAGTTCTTATTTTGTCTCCTTGTTGTTTACTCTGTCTCCTTGTAGTTTACTCTGTCTCCTTGTAGTTTTCCTCTGTCTCCTTGTAGTTTACTGTGTCATATAGTT